CTCTTTTTTCTTTAACAGCTCAACATGTATAGAAACCAAAATTCTCCTTCCCTCATGGGGGCATTTTCGTCAGATCACGTCCTCAGTACCACAAGAAAGTGGCATATCTCACAACTTTTTGAAAATGTGGTATTTTGCATAAGAGACCCACGTCTTTGTGGAAGATATGATAGTTTTCCCTCGACTAAATTGCTAATTTTGTATAACAACTAATTGTGTTAATTTGCCAAGTTCGTTGACTTTAAATTAGTAATTTTGCAGAAGTTTTCTTATGCGTTAAGCGGTTAACTTAAATAAGTGAATGAAATAAAATTCTGAGATCAAATGAATGGATTTTCTAATTTTGAAACAACCATTATACTGTAGTTATTAGATATATAGGAAGAAATGAGACCACAATCGTAAAGGCTACGCCAATCGAAACCACCAAAAAAACTTAGAAAATATTACCACTATCAAGTGATAAAAATGTTTGACCAATGACTCTCTCAAAACCAAATAATAAAAGAGATGATCTAAGCATATCCAAAGGATCACAAAGACTTCCAAATTTCAAACTCGTTCTCTACCTTTACTCGATGAAAATGAGCCTCTATATAAGAGATAATACAAATCAGTTTATAATAAAAGTTAGCCTGCATGATTAACACTTGGGAATACTAAAAACAGACTTCAACATGCATGAATGAAAGATACCAAAACAAATGTAGCTTTCTTGAGTGACGAAAATGTCTCTTCAAATGACTTTGGGGTCGAATAAGCAGCCAAGATATTTCAGCATAAGACATCCAGCCCATAAGATTGTAACCCTTGTATTAAGAAAGTACTTCGTCCATAAAATAACATGGTCAAAGCCAGCCTGTTACACTTCTCCATTGTTGTGCCGCTTCTCTTGCTTGCAACTCTACTCCAATATCAGTCCCTTTGAGTTTAAAAGAACTCTTCATTTTCAGGATTTGGAGAAAGCTCTGCTATATTCTCACTAGTTAAACTTCATAATCTCCATATATAATCTCATGAAAGCTCAAGATTGTAAGCATTTTCACCAAATTTCTCAAATATTTTGTATAGATCTTATATGCCTTTGGTATAAGCTACAACTTGCATTTTCTAATAAATTGAAATTTCTCTTTCTTTAAGTGTAACCGAATACTTGGCTCATAAAAATTAGACCCCTAGTTCTTGTTGGCTTTCCTTATTTATTTCTCATTCACATTTTCAATCTCTGTCCAAACATTCTCATATTTTTCCATTTTCTTAATCTATTCCATTGCTTCATAATTTGTTGGGAACTCACAATGTAACGTTATCAAATCATGCGAGTAAGAAAACTCATACTATATCAAATTTTTGTTATTTAAGAAAAGAATTAACAAAATCCAAAGCAAAACAAACCAATTTGATATGGCGGCAGAGTTGCCGGTACCCACAATCAATTTTAAAATGAGAAATATCAGTTTCAAGTTAACGTGTTTGATGTCCCATTTTTTCCCGAAGCTAACACATCATTTATAAATAGTAATTCAAACATCTCAAATGTAACGCCTGAGCGTAAAGTTCAACATAGATCACGATAAATAATTGTGATATTAATAGAAAAATATAATATTATTAATTGAAAATTATTTTATTTTCCAATGAACACGTGCTTTGTGGAGCGCGAATTCTTTGATTATGTTAATTTGAAATATCCGTATTACATTAACTCTTCTAATTGTGTTGAAGCTTTAACGATATTAGATCAATAAGAAGGTTTGTTAATTGTTGACTCTGCTAATTTGATATGCTCATTTACTCTTACAAATGAGTATAGACATTACTTTGTGAATCTAAAAAACCACTAACTTTTGTTTGATTTTAGTTACTTTTATCATTATTTTTAATTGTAAATTGTTCAGATAAGATTATTTAGATCTTTCGCAAAGTTGAATTTGTTTATTATGGACAAACGTTGTTTGCAGAGAAATAACTAATGAACATATTGTAGGGTATTCAACTAGGAATCCGACCAAGCCTTGCCTCTATAGATATGTTAAATGATGAACGTTTTGTAGGTGATTCAACAACTTGGAGTCCGACCAAGCTTTGCCTCTATAAATATGTTCAATGTAGCATCCCCTCTTTCAAACGTTTTCATGTCACATTTAGATGGTAAAAATATTTTGGAGAAGACAAAAATGGGTTTGTCTTGACGTTCAAGACATATTTATGTCAACGTGACTAGAAAAAGTTGTTTTATGGGAGGGAGAGTGGGGTTAAGTTATGAGCCTTGGTCAAAGCAATCTAAGGCCCAATATGATCGATGTTTGTTGAAAGCTAGAGGAGAGAGGGAAATTGTCTCCCTAATAAGAGTTGAAACTCCTCGAAACACGATAATGTTCATGGAGAAGTGGAAAGGAGGAATGGGAGATATGAAAAGTTGGATGATCCGCGAACTGTTCTCCTCCTCATGAGTGATGTTTTGTGGTGTATTTCTGGGTCAGAGATAGCAAGTTAGGTTTTCTTTTAACTAGAGCCGGTGCAATAGATATGTGGGCCACAAGCAACAAATTTTTTTGGGCCTATAAAGCTGATGATCTAAAAGAAAATAGTAAAAAGTTTAAAGAGCAAAAGAAAGATTCGAACCTTGCACCTATATTAGTCAATAAACTGAACATAACCAACTGAGGGAAAATATTTTTTGTCATAAGTGGAAGCTGAAATTTTAGATATTTTTACAGGGCCGCAAGCAGATGCTTTCATCTACATGTCCCTAGGGCCGGCTCTGCTCTTAAGGTCCGAACTAGTGAAGTACCACACTCTCTGCTACTCTTTTTGAGAGGGTAAAGATTATTTATAAGTGTTTCTTGACCTAGGTAAAAATTTGACTTACTGCAACTATTTCGAGTATTGTAAGCTGTTTTTTTTTATAGTTTCGAGGTGATTGGACTATCTCGTGCAATCCATTTGTCTTTGATTTGACGACTTCTTAGAAATAAATACTAACAATGTAACGATATTAGATCAATAAGATTAAGATGATTCATATTATATCAAATTTTTCATCTAAAAAAAGAATTGAAAAAAATCCAAATTAAAACAAAACAAAGCTATCCCATGACCGTATTCAGTTGGTTTGATTGGTTTTTCATTTCTATGGGAATAGTATTATCCTCTTGTCAGATAGCTACAAATTGGGCTTTGAACATAGGTGTGTATGAATTTTGTTGTGATTTGATTTTGAATTATTTTTTTACATTTTTTTTGAATTTGGTCTATAATTTGTAGGGAGATCAACTAGAATTCTCAATTGGATCTGCCTTATGACTTCGATTGTGGCCATTCATGCTTGTGTTCTGTCAAATCTGGGAGTGATACCTGCTTGTTTTCTGGGCTTTCTTCCTCTTCTTGCTGTATTTGTACTAAATTTATTCGTTTGCGCGTTGCACGAAATATCAAATTTAAACTGACTACAATACGAATTGTTAAAACTATAATAATCATTTGAATTTCAAAAACTATATATATTCTTATTTGTTTTATAAAGCAATATACAACATAGAAATTATCATAAATATTTGGTAAATACCACATCATAACAAAAGTTATATAAAATGATAGGTATTGGTAGCCATCTATGAAATTAGATCAATAAGATTAATATGATTCATACTATATCAAATTTTGTCTTCTAAAAAAAGAATTGAAAAAAATCCAAATTAAAACAAAACAAATCTATTCCATGTGGCGACGAACTATCATTATCCTTAATTAATGTTAAAAAGGAAAATATTATTTCTAGGTTAATGTGCGACGTTCCAATTTTTCCTTTTTATAAATAAAAATTCAATTATATCTCAAATGTAACGTATGAGCGTTAATTACGGCGCAGATCACGATAAATAATTGCGCTATTAGCTGAACGGTATAACATCAATAATTGAAAAAGATTTAACTATTTCTAACAAACACGGGTTTTGTATTGATTATGTTAATTTAATATATACGTGTCAGGTCCATTGACTCTACTTATTTTTTTAGATCTATTAAGTTTGATAATTTGCCAGTTTTTTAATCCTGCTAATTTGGAAAGTTCATTGATAACCATGAAATATGGTATGTTAGTGGGGGCATTTTATAAAAGCATCCTCTTTTTTCTTTAACAGCTCAACATGTATAGAAACCAAAATTCTCCTTCCCTCATGGGGGCATTTTCTTCAGATCACGTCCTCAGTACCACAAGAAAGTGGCATATCTCACAACTTTTTGAAAATGTGGTATTTTGCATAAGAGACCCACGTCTTTGTGGAAGATATGATAGTTTTCCCTCGACTAAATTGCTAATTTTGTATAACAACTAATTGTGTTAATTTGCCAAGTTCGTTGACTTTAAATTAGTAATTTTGCAGAAGTTTTCTTATGCGTTAAGCGGTTAACTTAAATAAGTGAATGAAATAAAATTTTGAGATCAAATGAATGGATTTTCTAATTTTGAAACAACCATTATACTGTATTTATTAGATATATAGGAAGAAATGAGACCACAATCGTAAAGGCTACGCCAATCGAAACCACCAAAAAAACTTAGAAAATATTACCACTATCAAGTGATAAAAATGTTTGACCAATGACTCTCTCAAAACCAAATAATAATTAGCGGAGTCAGTTATCAATGAAAAATACTTGACCATTCCCAACTAAGACTTGTTTTGTAGAACACAAGTCCATTGATTATGTAAATTTGACATATATGAGTCAAAGTCTATTTACTCTTGGTAATTTTGTAGGTTCATTAATTTTGTCAATTTGCCAGATTTGTTGACCCTGGTAATTTTGTCGAAGCTTTCATCTGCTAATTTTGTAGCTTCTTTTTACATATAGTCAGCCCAAACCAACACTCTGAGAAGTCCATCTTACAGCCCATAAAACAATTATGAGGTTAAGTTTGTTGAGAAAGATAACTTTTTTAAAGTTGTGACTCTAATGCATCATGCATTGTTTCCAAACTTACTTTTTTCTTCTTATGGATCATGCATTCATTTCACTCCTAACAATGTTACAAGTAACAAACGCAAGAGAGAAAACAAAAATTCTTAAATCTTACCAAAATGATCATCAAAAGACAAGATAAAGCTTTTATGCTTTTTAACCAAGTCTACAAGTACAACAACCATCAGAAGTCCCTACGCTGTTTCGGTCATTCTCTTCCGGTTCCTTAGAGACTTCTTGACTATCTGCGTTACCTTCTTGGATATCCTCGATGTGACTTACTGCTTCGGTTGTTGATTGGGAATCTGGTTGAGCCGAAGCTCCTCCTCCATTAGAGTTTTCTATGGGAGAGACTATCTCTGGACTTTGATGGGACGGTTTGGGGATAAGAGAGAGACGACAAAGAGGGCACGTTGTGTGTGATGTGAGCCAAAGATCAATACATTCCATGTGAAAAGTGTGCCCACATTTTGGCATTTGTTGAAGTTTCTCTTCTGCTTGGTAGTCCCCAAGACACACTGAACATCTGTTTTCAAGTCAAAGTCAAAATCAGGTGATTCTTAATCATACTTTCTTATGTTTTAGCTATTCAAAGAAAGAAAAAAAACAAACAACCACAAAAGCAATTTTGTCAGGTTTCTGTTGGAACTTATACCCATTTTATGAGGCCAATAATTTACCAAAGAACTATTTCAAACAACTCAATATACAAACTGAAATTGCACTATTGAATTAGTCGGGCGTCACATATGCCTCCACTCGAATGAGATCGCGATTTCGCTTATGTCTAATCCGGATAAAATGATGACATTTTTCTCAGCCTAAGGTAACGGTTTCAATGCAATTATATTCACAAGACAAATTTATTACGCAAAGCAAAATTATCATTTTTGTTTCTTGTTCCCATCTCTCACTTTAGTTTAATTCATATCACGCAACATAGCTTTGAACTTTTCTATCACACAAAGGTTATTTTTTATGAGATAAGCCTTAAAAAGATCTGACAGGTCGTGAATCCACAAAAAAAAAAAAGATAAAATCTTTATGAATATGAGAGAACTCACTGTGAATCTTTAACTGTGAAACTCTCTTTGTAGATGACAATGGGAAGCATCTCTCTCAAATCTTTGCTCAGTCCTAATTCAGCCTGTTCATATACATGAGTCAACAAATCTTTACATAACCAAAATGTTTCAAAAACCACAAAATCTTTCACAGATTGAGTAATACCGTTGAGAGATTGTTGTTGGTGGGCACAAAGATTCCACCACGCATTCCAAGAGAAGACCAATCGACGTTGGTGGTGCTGTTTCGACGGAGGTAAATGACGTAAAGAACGAAGAGAACGATGAATGTGAAACAGATTGGAACAGAGAAGATAAAAGCTTGGTAAAGTTTCAGTTTCTCAGACTCATTTGAGTTCGATGGAGCGTAAGTTTCTGGAATTGGGTTTTGGTTTGGGTCACTGTAAGACATCTCTTCACTGGTGTAATGTTCCACACCAAAAAAAAAAAAAGATAAGACTTGTTTCACTTTCTGTCTTTTCTTGAAACTTGTCTGAAAAAAAACAGAGAATTTCAAGAAGCAATGGTGATAGATAAGATGAGAGAGAGAGGTGGGGAAAGTTTCAGGTGAAGTATTCAGGTGCTATCAATTTGTGTTACCTATTTATTTATTTTAAGAGAACATGTCACAACAAAAGATAATAGTATAGAATTAAATTACCAAATAGGATAGATACAAAATATAAGATATGGCTTTTAAAGTAAAGATATTTTTTTCTTAATATGGGTAATTAAGTGTTTCTTAAAAAATGTTAAATAATTAAAATAATATAGATAGATAAAAGTGACAACTAATGTGAGTTTTTTAATAAAAACAAGGTTAACATGTTTTGAAACCGTTAGGTAGTTGAAACTGAGTCATAGTCATTAAATTCACCAGTCACAAAGGTATTGGACTGCTGGAAACAATGGACACATGTTCGGTTGTTTATGTTTTCACTTGTTTTTATCTTTCTTAAAACTAATATTTTATGTTTTTTTTTTTTTGCCTTTTTATAATTTAAATTGTTTAATTTGCTAGTCAAATGAATTTAATGATTTTGCTGGAACAAACTAAATTGCTTGAAAGGAATATTATATTTATAAGAGCTTTACTTTTTCTTCTTACTATATAAAAAAATATTAAAATAAAAATGGTTATCTCCTTCTGTGTCTTCCAAATAAATTTTGCATATATTTTTAAAATTTCAAAACTCTCTTTAATGTAGATTTAAACCATTGGTAACAAATCGATGATACTAATATAAATCATTAGACTTCATGTTTTACGTAATTCTAATCTAATATTTAAAGTAAATAAAATGGTGTTAGAAGAAAATATTACATTTATTAGTTTTATGTTAGTGATCGATGTTCCAACTTAACAAAAAAAAAATATTCAATGTAGCGACAAAATCCAAAAACAAAATCAATCTTAATATGAAAATTAATAGTTTTAGGTTAGTGATCGATATTCCAAAAAAATTTCTGTCGTGATTCACTTTATGTCAAACATCTCAAATATAACGTTTGAGCGTGAATTTCACGGAGATCTTCATAAATAATTACACAATAAACTACAAAAATGCATCATTGAACTAAAAAGTTTTTCTCGTTTCCAACGAATTATATATCCCAAATCCATTGTATATTATGCTAATTTGGTATATTCGGATGAGATCCATTGATTAACTCTGTTAATTTTGTATAACCATTAACTTTGTTAATTTGCCAGGTTTCTTGACTGTGGTAGTTTTGTAGAAAGAAGCTTTTTAATGTGTATAGCATGAAGCATACATGAGTGAATGAAATAGAAACTATAACATGAAAATTGTGATACAAAATTAATGCGTGTTGTATTTCTAATCTTGATATAACCATAAGTTATTAGATAGATAAGAAGATACAAAACCACCAAATTCGTACAGGCTGAGCTGAACATAACCAATAAACAAACGTCTAAATAAAGTTTTCATTATCCTAGAATCCACCACCAATTTTGTTTATAAACCCATATGATCTAAACAAATCCAAAACGTCACAAAAACTATCAAAATTCTCAAACTCGTTTTCAACCTTTATTTAATAAAAATAAATCTTTGTATAAGATAAAATACAATAAAAATCATCATAAATTTAGTCTACATGAATAACATTTAGAACACCCTAAATAGAATTTAACATGCACGAATGATAGAGAAATTAACTAAAATAAATGCGGTCCTCCTTAGTGACGAAAGTGCCTCTTCAAAAGACTTTAGGGCTGAAAAAGCATCCAATATATTACAACACAAGACATCCATCCTCTGAGATTGTAAACCTTGTATTAAAAGTTGATTAGACCAAAAATAACATGGTCAAATCTAGCCCATATACTCTTCTCCATTGCTTGTGATTATTCATTTGCTTGCAACTCTTCTCCCGCATCACCCGTTTCGGGTTCAAAAGAACCTTTCCTCAAATCCCTGAACTCCTACTCATTAAGATATGGAGAAAGATCTCCCATATTGAAAGTAGTTGAAATTACATAATCGCATAAAAGCTCAAGTTTGTAAAAATTTCATCAAACTTCTCAAATATCTTGTATGGATATTATGTCTTTGGTATAAGTTTTGATTTGCGCTTTTTCATAAACCATTCTTTCTTTAAGTTGAACTAGACTAGATTACCTGGTTTCAAAAATTTCAGACAGCTAATTGTTGTTGGTTTTTTTTTTATTTTACTTATCAATCACCTTCTCTGTGCACGAACATTCTCATGTAACTTTTTCATTGTCTTAATCTTTTCTATGATTTCATAATGTAATGGAAACTCACACTATAACGATATTAGATCAATAAGAGTAAGAAGATTCATACCATATCAAGTTTTATCATCTATAAAAATAATTTTAAAAAGTCCAAAATAAAACAAACGTATTTGATGTGGCGACGAGCTGTTTGTACCCACAAATATTAGCTTTAAGTTACAGTGTGATGTACCAATCTTTTCTTTGTCTAATTCAAAATGTATAAATAATAATTCAAAAATCTCAAATGTAACGTCTGAGCGTGAATTCCGGCGCAGATTACGATAAATAATTATGCTATTAACTGAAAGATATAACATTATTGATTGAGAAATATTTAACTTTATCCAACAAACACGTGTATTGTAAAGCACAAGTCCATTGATTATGTTAATTTGGCATATATGTGTCGAGTCCATTGACTCTGCTGATTTTTTAGGTCTAGTAAGTTTGTTAATTTGCTAGGTTCTATGATCTTGGTAATATGGTAGAAATTTTCATCTGCTAATTCTGGAAGGTTCGTTGATAATTGACTCTCGTAATTTGTTATGTCCATTTACTCTTACAAATTAGCATAGGTATTACTTTGTGAATCCAAAAAAACCACTAATGTACCATATTTCATGGAATCACTAGCTCAGATTTTATAGCCTTTTTTATTATTTTAGTTCTATATTAGTCACTTTAATTTTTTACTGATTTTAGTTGCTTCAAATAAATTTATATATTGAACTATAAACTCAAAAGATAGGATATATCATCATTAATGGAGAAACGTTTTACCATTTACAACGAACACGTGCTTTGTAGGACGCACGTCCATTGATTATGTAAATTTGGCATTTCTGTGTCAAGTCTATTGACTCTACTAATTTTTTAGGTTCATTAACTTTGCCAATTTGCCATGACCTTGGTAATTTTGTAGAAGCTTTCATTTGGTTATTTTAGAAAGTTTGTTGATAATTCATTCTCCTAATGACATGTCTATTTAGTCTTACAAATTAGCATCCGCATAACTTTGGAAATCAAAAGTAAAGTGGTGTGGTGTGTATGGATCAAAGATTACAAATTAGGTTTTCTCTCAAGATCCGAACAGGTGAAGTACCACCCTCTCTCATCCTATTTCTTAGAGAGTGCAAGGATTATTTATAAGAATTGTACCAGACCCGGGTCAAAGCTCGGGTTTATGCGACTAGTTCGGGTTCCAAGCTATACGAGTTAGAAGACCGAGTATTGTATATGCTTATATGCTTCTAGGAATGGCGAGGTGAAATCTTTTTTTTTTCTTTTATAACGGAATATCTCCACAAATAATATTAAATTTCCCTAAATGGTGACAAAATGCGGCTATTGCAAGTGAACCAAATTACACTTGATTATTATTTATGATGATAATGTCATCAACATCTCAAAAAAGGCCATACGTAGACTCATCCAAAGTTATATATTTTAATGACAATAGGATTCATTCTATAAACAAAAATATACAGAATATTCAGATATGGATGATGAACACATCAGCTTTGGATCACTCCCACGGACGCGGAGATTCGCAGATTTGCCTTCTCGCTTTGCTTTTTAGTTTTGTCAACGCTTATTGTACCTTATTGGTACGAACCAAGAGACACTTTTCTAGATTCTTTTTTTTTGTTGACATCTTCATTGTCAACTTCAAAAGTCAATGGCTTTTGTTATAAGTTTGGTATATCCAAGTTAGAAGAGTTCTCAAGAGGACCATTTTTACATCACAATAAACAGGGCAATGTTTACTTGGAGAGAGATTCGAAGTGGCATTTCGATTTATTATGTATATTGGTTTGATTTGGTATTAGTTTGTTAATTATAGTTTGGATTCGGTTCGATTTGGTATTAGTTTGGTTCGGTTGAAATGTGAATAACTAACAAAACAAATCGATGGGAGAATACAACACCACCTTTATCGCTATTTAATAATTGAAATAAAATAAGTGATAAAGAGATGCAAATTTCATTATTTAGACAAAACACCTAAGAATCTTCTTGTTATTTTGGTGATTAGAAAAACTCCTAAATCTATGTAGGCTAGTGGGTGTACTAAATAAACAAGATCTTTCTTGTGCCTTCAACGAGAAATTTAGAAACGTAGAAGCCGTCTTCCTCCTTGATATGAAGCTTTGAAGACACCAAACCTCTTATTTTCTCTCTTGTTCTCTAAGATCTATTAATGTGAAATCTCACCTTTTGTATCCGACGATTAAAGAAGTATTCTATAAATCCTATTCAGTTCTTATTCATCTTGTTTATGAGTTTATCAAACCTTTCTTTGATGATCTCTTTAACCATGCTAGAGTAGTTTTCTATTTAGGTTTAAAGGGCTAATCAAAAGGGGACATGATCGATCGTTTAGGTGGCGATACTTAGGGCTCTGTTTGATCGTTTACATTGTATTATTTCTAGTTAAGATTTCTCTTAATGCATATAGTTAGCCTCATGAACTAACTCTGATCACAAGTGTTTATGTTTCCCAAAGGTTGATTAAAACACTCGAACATAGCTTACGAATGTGTATAGTGTTATAAAAAGCATACACCACTTAGTTATAAAGTTTTATGGACTAGAATCGAACTCGATCTTATTGCTTTGATATATGTGTCGTTGTCTGCATGAGTTGAGTAACGGAGTATAGGGATTTTAGCCGCCTAATTCTATCGTGAGGTTAGCCGACGATTAGTGTTTCTTATATCCGAGACTTGGAAATAAACAAACATAATCTTAGTATT